GGGGCGGGGATTTCCCGTAGCTGAAAATTTCCCACGGGGACGGGGATGGAGAATAATTCCCCATCCCCGCCGTGGAACGGGGCGGGATGGGGAATGGAGAAATATTTCGGGGACGGGGATGGGGACCCCATTCCTCGCCCCCGCCCCGCCCCGTTGCCATCAGACCCTCAAGAAGAATAAAACTTTTGAACTGAGAGGTGGTTCAGACCCACGAGAAGAACAAAACTTTTGAACTAAGGGGTGATTCAGACCCTCAAGAACAAAACTTTTGAACAAAACTTAATATGCGTCATTTTAACATTTGAGGCGCGTTGTTATAACACTAAAGGTGTGTTGTTCTAATACTTAAGGTGCGTGTTTCTATCACTTAATGTGCACCATTTTTAACTCCTTTCTTCAAGACACGTGTTTTTTTATTATTATTAATTTTTATTGATTTGAGCAGTTGATTTAGATTTTAATGTTTAAGGTACATCAACTGCACATGAAGCTTTTACCGCACCTGAACCCTTATATATATATATATATATATATATATATATATATATATATATATATATATCAATGTTGAAAAAATCGCTAGGCGCCTAGAGTGCCTAGGAGGTCGGACGCCTAACGCCTAGGTCCCCCAGCGCGATTTTTGCAACAGTGATATATATATATATATATATATATATATATATATATATATATATATATATATATATATATATATATATATATATATATATATATATATAATTAGGTTATGGTGCGGTTGGGGTGCCCAGGTGCGGTTGTGCGGTTTAATCTGGGTCATTCATCTCGCTTAAATCAACGTCTAGGATTGTCAAAATTTTTAAAAAAAATGTGGTGGCAATTTTGTAATTTTTGCATCTATGTCAAAATTAAGGTGAGCAGATCTGTGATTAATGTGCGTGAGTTTTGTATATAAGATGCGTGAGGTTTGTGGGTAAGGTGCGTGAGTTTTGTGCTTAATGTGTGTGAGGTTGTGCTTAACGTGAGTAATTGTTAAAACTTAAAGTGTGGACTTTTGTGCTTAAGGTGCGTGAGATTTGTTCTTAATGTGAGTGGAGTTTGTAATTAATGTGCGTAGGGTTTGTGCTTAATGTGTGTGGGTTTAGTGATTAATGTCAGTAGTTGTTGAAACTTAAGGTCTGTAAGTTAATACTTAAAGTGCTTGGTGTTTGTGCTTAATGTGCGTGAGATTGTGCTTAATGTGTGTGAGTTTTGTACTTAATGTGCGTGAGTTTGTGCTTAATGTCAGTAGTTGTTGAAACTTAAAGTCTGTGAGTTAATATTTAAAGTGCGTGGATTTTGTGCTTAATGTGCGTGAGGTTGTGCTTAATGTGTGTGTGTTTTGTACTTAATGTGAGTGAGTTTGTGAATTTGTGTTTAAGGTGCGCCATTTTTAGCTTATGCTTCTTTCTTCCAGACACGCGCGTGTTTTTTTTTTTTTCATTGATTTGAGCCGCTCAGACGATCTAGCCGCACAACCGCACTGGAAGCTATATATATATATATATATATATATATATATATATATATATATATATATATATATATATATATATATATATAGTTCTACTACATGTACTTCATAATCTTACTTCCTAAATTTTACTCCTTGATGTGGCGGATTCTGATAAGCTATTTTTCATGTGGGTTCGAATACAAGTGTCTACATCAAAGTTTTATGTGTGAAAGTACAAGTTAGAATTAGAAAATGGGAGTGCTTTTAACAAATGGTCTATACAAGGTAGATGTAAACTCTGCGTAATTAGCATATGAATATTTTGATTGATAACAACTTACCCATCAAGATTTTTTTTTTTTTTTTTACAATATTGTAGTTGTTATAGAATAATATTATTCTGCATTTAAAAATTTTGTGTAATAATAATAATAATAATAATAATGATAATAATAATCTTATTATTATTATCACCATCATCATTAATTTTATATATATATATATATATATATATATGTTATTTTATAATGGTATTTATGTCTTTTAAAAACATATTCAATTTCTATTCCTTAAACCAACCAAACATTCGAATATAATTTCTAAAGTCTATTTCTTTAGCTAGTGAACCAAACAATATAATACAATTCATGTTTTATTCTTTGCCTATTACATTCCCTATAGAATAATATTACTATTCTATCAAAATTCATTTCGTGAATGAAACGTTAAGTCATACATCTCTAATCTCTAATAATAATAACAATAATAATAATAATAATAACAACAACAACGACAACAATAATAATAATAAATTTTAGAAAATCCACTATTATGAATACAAAAGAGCAATGACATTTTTTTAAAGAGAATGAAAATTTTTATTTTCATTATTTATAGAAGGGTTTCTTCTTAGAATTCTTTTTTATTTATTTATTTATTTATTTATTTATTTATTTATCCTTAGTCAGAATTCTTACTAAAACTTTTCTTAATATTTTTCTAATGTACCCCTCTTAATATTTTTCTAATGTACCCCACATACTTTTGCAGACCTTAGCTTTATTATTTGTATTCATCGGTGAAGTTGAAGCGGTAAACAGGAAAATTAAAATTTTAATGTGAAAATGAACAAGTTTTGAAAAGAAAACAAAAACAAGAGACAAAAAAGCAAGGAATTTTCCTTCTCCGATTTGCTTTGAAAAAGTCTTGCAGTTCGTAGACACAAAATGTGAGGTACAGCCTCTCTTTTTTTTTTTTCTAGGGAAATAATTGGTGCGTTGAAAGTGATTTATATATATATATATATATATATATATATATATATATATATATATATATATATATATATATTTGTTCTTGTTTAATTGGTTGAAGAAGATGAAAGAAATAAATTTTTGTGAGCACAAAATAAATGAGGGCAAAATTTCTTTAAAAATGCAAGTGACTTTCTAGATTATGCTAATTTTAATTATTTTTTCAACAGATTGAATTCTCAACTTTAACTTGACAGACATTTGAGAAAGATGTAAATTACTGTCTCAGAATAACTTAGCCAGTTAGCAGATAAAGTCAAATTGTCGCTTGATCTTTTGGAGCCTCACCCACTTTGTCCAAGTCATGGCTCACAGCCCGAGCATTTTTGGGGGATCCGAGTCTATCGCTTTATCTTCTAGAGCCTTGCTACTTCGTTCGGGTCTTGGCTCGCAGCCTAGACCCTTTTAGGGGATCTGAGTCTATTGATTGATCTTCTGGATTTTAATTTGCTCACTTCGTCCGAGTCTTGGCATCTATTACTTGATCTTTCGGAGTCCCGTTCACGTCGTCGGAGTCTTGGTTTGTGGCTCAAGCCCTACAGGGGTTCGAGGCCCATTCTTGAGCCTTCCAAGTGCCAAGATTTTGCTAAGGATGGTGATCGGACCGCGGGTTGATGCAGTGTCACCTAAGTTTTGCTTGCATGAGTCAATTTTTTTTTCAAATGTCATCTTGCCTTAGCCAAGCGTTGGGATTGGCCAATGGTGGGCTCTTCCGTTGGGAAGTGAACGGGGCCAAATGCCATACCGACCCTTAGGGAATAGTTAAGCGTTTTCGTGACCAATTCACGTGTTCGCCCAATAATAGGCTCTTCCGTCGAGTAGTGAGCGAGATCGAGTCCCGTACCGAATCTTAGAGAAAATTTGGTGTCTACGTGACCAAGCTGCGGGCTCGACGAAGACCAAGCTCTTCTGTAGGTGGTGAGTAGGGTTGGATCCCGCACTGGCCCTTAGGGGACACGGTGAGCAGAATTAAAAAAAAAAAAAAAAATTATCTTCATTCGACACAAAGTCGCTAAAAATCCACATGATTACTTCACGATAATCAACAAGTCTACTTCAAAAATATTTTAAATTAGTGTATTGTTAAGTGGGGCTTTAGAGATGTTGCTGGATTTTTATGATGTAAATTTATGCACTAAACTTAAGATTTGTCATGAAGTAGACTTGTGATATTTTTAATTGCACTTTTTTTAAAAAAAAATAGTTTTGTAGTATACTTTTTGTATTGGTATCAATTTTTGCTCCATTATGCTAAGAATGAATTAATGATTATTTATGCTATCCATGAATGTATGATTAGTGTATATGATTTTTTTAAAGATGTAGAACATTTGTATTGTCCTATTAACAAGAAGAAAAAAAGGATGATTTTGAGTAGTTAATGACGTCATTTTTAATGTCATTTAAACATATTTGTTGACATAGGACTGGTACCTCATGCTACAATAATGATAAGAGCAAGATAAAAAAAAAACAAAAAAAAAAACAAAAACTAAAACTAAAAGTGGAATGACATATATAAATTTAGGACCAAATAAGAAAAAAAAGAATTAACACTTTTTTTTAAATGGTACCGATGACTCTATTACATTGTAATATCTTTTCAAACATATTTTCTCAACCAGAGGCTCGATCTCATGACCTCCCACATGAGAGATATCATTACATGTCATCTGAGCACAAGGTGCTTGGCAACACTTAGAATTGAATAAATCAAAATGTTCTTGTATTTAATGCTATTTAAATGCTTTGTTGACAAAAGATAAAAATGATCATGTCACAATAATATTATAATCAAAGAGAGATGTTTACTAAAAAAAAAAAAAAAAAAAAAAAAAAAAAAAAAAAAAAAAAACTGACACCTATAAATTTAGGAAAAAAAATGAAATCAACTCCTTGTGTTTTTTAATCATATAGTCCATACTAACATATTATGTTTGAATTGATTTGAAAAAAAAAAAAAAAAGAATTATAATTATTATTTAAATTTTTTCAATAAAATTTAAACGGGTGACAGATAATTCTGCTTTTTTAAAAAAAAAAAACATATAATTTTACTATTTAAAAATATACATTTCCGGAGACTGAGTCGATATAAAAATTTTGTTTAGTCCATGTAAATAATAACCTGATTGCACTGCTATATTGACTTTGAATATACGGAGTAATAATTATACTACTTGACCGGCTGTACTGTACAACACTTTACTATATTTATATAAGCTAACAGGCAGATCGAAGAATTAAGCTAGGCAGGCTGATAGATAGAAGTAGACTTTTCAATTCCTGTCCTACAGCCTACAACTAAGCCGCCATGGCCATGGAGATTCTGTTTTCTTTAATTGGGATAGGGGTTATAGCCTTGATTTTGCGTCTGTATAATGCTCTGGTGGCTAAGCCGGAGAAGCTGAGGTGTATTCTGCGGAAGCAAGGGATTAGCGGCCCGCCGCCGACGGTGGTTCTGGGCAACGTTTTGGAGATCAAGAAGTACAGAAACGCCAACAGCGTTAAGGCTCCGACGGCCGCCGTGTGCGGCGGCGTGCCCAAGGAACACAACTGTGGTCGTCAGCTCTTTGGTTTCTTTGAGCCATGGCAAGAGAAGTATGGTGAGCTTTCCTTCTCTTTCTTTCCGCTCCAAAAAAACTATTTTTCTCCTCCATCCTAATTTGGAATATTGGAAATTAATGTCAAGTCAATTAATTTTGCCTGCTTATTACGCAATATAATGGGAAGAAATAGATCTTTCATTTGTCTAGTTATAGTATTGACCAAATTTTACTCTTTGGTCAAATTATTATGTGGACCAGGGTCCAACTGCAATGTGAATCCGGGTTCAAAAACATAATTTACATACTGAATTTTCATGATTGGTCATAGTTTATATACACAATTTACATATTAAATGTTCACAATTCAAATTGTTACATTTAGGCCCTGTTTGGTAAGATATTGGCCTATAGGTCAATTTTGACTTATTTGACCATTATTAATTGTTTGATTTAGTTAAAATATCAATATAAATGTTTGGTTAATTAACTTTTTGCAACTCCAAAAGGCTAAAAGTCAAAAAGGTACTCAAAGCAACTTTTTTAATTAACTTTTTGAGAAAAAAAATTATACCAAACAGTTATCAGTTAACAGCTAATTTACCAAACACTTTTCTACAATCAGCTAATGTTATCAACTATTTATACCCTCTAATTAACACAATCAGTTAATGGCTAACGGCTATCAGCTAACATCCATTTTACCAAACAGGGTCTTAGTATGTAAATTGTGAACCTTTACTAGATAAATTGTGTATTTTTGACTCGCAAGGTGGACCCGAGTCAATGGTATAACTGTCCTTACTCTTCCACTAGTGTGATATTGTTATATTTAGTAGTAAGTTAATCACTATTTTGGTCCCTTAGTTGTTTCTCAACTATCGATGTAATCCTTTGTTTTCAATTTCAGCCAATGTGATCATTGAATTGTTTAAAATTTGACAATTAAACCTTTTCAAAGACCAAAATTGTGATTTTCACATTTTTAAAATTTCATCAATTTGGTCATTGAAAGAGTTATAAGGTTAGATTTGTTCCGGGTATACCCCAGATTGCGACTGCGAGTTTCTCTTGTCGGTCGGTCAAAACAAAAAGAGTAAATTAAGTGAAAGAATGGATTTGAATAATGTTGAACAGGGGAAGTGTTCGTGTTTGCTCTTGGAAATACTCAAATACTGCATGTGACTCAACCGGAGATGGTGAAAGAGATAACCACATGCACTTCTCTAGAATTAGGGAAGCCAACATATCAAGCAAAAGAGCGCAGTTCCTTACTGGGTAAGGGCATCCTCACATCCAACGGTCCTTATTGGGCACATCAGAGAAAAATAATTGCACCAGAATTGTACATGGACAAAGTCAAGGTAATGAAACAATTTGAAAATTACCGATTTGGTCCCTCGACTATGAGGATTTCACCAATTTGGTCCTCGACTACCAAAATTACTCAATTTGATCCTTGACTATGACATTTTTACCTGATTTGGTCCTAAGTGTTATTTTCATGTCAAACCTAAAAGGCAATTTTGGGATTTAAAAAAAGTATCTTCTTTCTTATTCTCTAAATCTAAGTCATTTGTTTTATATAGATATGTTATTTGTTTTCGATAGCAGTCGCAGCTTCAATATGCAACCAAAGTGCAGTGAATCATCTTCATCCAGCTATAAGAATCGAATGATGTTCGAAAATGGAGATGCTTATAGCTGGATGAAAATGATGTTGGCACAAAGCAGCAAATTTTTGAACATCATTCGATTATTATAGCTGGATGAAGATGATTCACTGCACTTTGGTTGCATATTGAAGCTGCGACTGCTATCGAAAATAAATAACCTATCTATATAAAACAAACGACTTAGATTTAGGGAAGAAAAAGGAAAATACTTTTTTAAATCTCAAAATTTCCCTTTAGGTTTGACTTGAAAATAACACTTAGGACCAAATCAGGTAAAAATGTTATAGTCGAGGACTAAATTGAGTAATTTTGGTAGTTGAGGACCAAATTGGTGAAATCCTCATAGTTGAGGGACCAAATCGGTAATTTTCTCGAAACAATTTAATTTCACCAAATATTATTCAATTTGGTATCAGAGTCAGACCAAATTTTGTGTGTAGGGAATGATACACATAGTGCAGGAGTCTACAAAGACATTGATAGATAGTTGGAAGAGTAGAATTGAGAAGGGTGGTGGGATAGTTGCTGACATAAATATTGATCCTGATATGAGGAGCTTCTCTGGAGATGTTATTTCCAAAGCATGTTTTGGTAGCAATTTCTCTAAAGGAGAAGAGATTTTCTCCAAGCTTAGAGCTCTCCAAGAAGCTGCCTCCAAAACCAGCTTAGCCATTATTCCTGGCATGAGGTATTAATTCCATTTTTGGTTTTAGATTTATAGCTGACGGTCCGCTTTTAGTTGGTCCGAGTATTATTGTGGCATGACTATTTCTGGTCCTTTTTTTTTTGTCAGTTTAGACTTTTAATTGAGATGGAGCACATTCTTGAATTGTTACAATTTGATCGTCAGGTATATACCTACAAAGAGCAACAGGGAAGCATGGGCAATAGAGAAGGAAATATATAAGAATGTTTTGGAGATGGTGAAAGAGAGGTCAGAATCTGGGAATGATCAAGATCTGCTGCAGATGATTCTTGAAGGGGCGAAAAACGGCGACGGCCGCCTCAGCCCGGACGCCATAGATCGCTTCATTGTTGACAACTGCAAGAACGTCTACTTGGCCGGGTTCGAGACGACTGCAGTTTCAGCCACATGGTTGCTCATGCTCCTCGCTGCAAACCCCGAGTGGCAACAACGAATCCGGGCTGAAGTTCAGAGCATCTGCAGGGGCCAAACCCCCGACGCTGACATGATCCGCAAAATGAAACTGGTACATTTACATTGTTTCAACTAAAAGTCTGAGCTGATAGTGCGACTACATGCACATCTGCACAATTGAAGCATGTGCTACGTGGACCGTAGTCGCTTATCATGACATTTTGTCTGGCTCTGATACCAAATTGAAGCATATGCTCCATCTCAACTAAAAGTCTAAGCTAATAATTGGATTGCACATTAATGGTTATATGCTCAACATGCACAATATAATTACGATTTTGTATTGTTTGCAGCTAAGTATGGCCATAAACGAATCTTTGAGACTATATCCACCCGTATCAGTGATGTCAAGGGAGGCATTGAGTGACATGAAGTTTGGCAACATAAATGTTCCAAAGGGTGTTAACATATGGACATTTGTGTTACCTTTGCATACAGATCCTAAAATATGGGGACCAGACAGCTATGAGTTTAATCCGGAGAGATTTGCAAATGGTATAACTGGAGCTTGCAAGTTTCCTTATCTTTACATGCCATTTGGGGTTGGTCCAAGGGTGTGTTTGGGGCAGAATTTGGCATTGGTTGAGCTCAAGATTTTGGTCTCTGTCATCCTCTCTAACTTCGAACTATCAATCTCCCCTACTTATATCCATTCTCCTGCTCTCAAGCTGGTTATTGAGCCTGCAAATGGAGTGAACCTTCATGTGAAGAAGCTGGAATGAAGCTTCAACATAATCTTAGTTTACAGCTTATGTGTATAACTTGTTCTTATTGCCTTATTCTCCTTTTCGCAGTAGTTTCTAATATTAATAATCACTTTTGTTGAAGAAATGGTGAACCCTATATGTAGTAGTTTTACCAATGCTTAATTAACTTATGGTCCATTTGGAAACTTAAAAAATGTTTTCAGCAAAAATAATTTTTAATAAAATATTTTATTTTATTTTAATTTTCTATTGTTCAGCTGAAAGTTAAAAAATTGTATTTTTTTCTTGGTTCATTTTCTTGAAAATGATCATATGATTTATTATATAATTATAATAACAACGGGTGGTAGCGGTGGTGGTGGTGGTCATGGTGAAGGAAGGTGGTGGTGGTGGTGGTGTGGTGTGGTGTGGTAGTGGAAGAGGAGGTGATGGTGGTGATGGTGTGGTGGTGGACATGGATGTGGAAGAGGTGTGATGGCGGAGGTGGAGGTGTGATCAATGTTGCAAAAATCGCGCCTAGGCATTAGCCGACCTCTTAGATTATCACCGAATCTATGGTCTAAGTAGTTGACTACGGCGCCTTATTGGTCGATTAGCTATTATTCTCTTTCTTTTTTTAATGAGTTCAGTTTTTGCTAACATTTTAACCGTCTAGACTGGAGAAAAATAATGTTATATAAAAAGTAGAATTTTTTTTTTTTCTTTTTGGGATTCCTCAATATAATCCTCAATTTCTAAATTTATATTCCTTTATCATAATTAAAATTATATTTGAAGAGTTATAATTTTTTTTAATGGATCAATTTTAAAAATTTCTCATATATATATAATGGAGAGAATTTATAGAACTAGAGTGAATTCTTTTGGTCTTGTAGAGCTGGCCAAAGTCCGGGCCCGATTCGGTCTCGGGCCTCAGCCAGCACTGCTCAGGACCGGTCTATAGTATTCAGGGTCGGTGCCGTGCTGGGCCCAGGCCCGGGCTTCTTGTGGGCCGATCTCGGGCTAGGTCCGTAATTTATTATATTGTTTATTTTGTTTTAAATATATAAATTTTTTTATAAATTGATACATTATTTGTGTTTAAAATAAAATTTGAACGCTTAACCTCTTAATCTTAATCTTAGTTACCAATTTAAGTTTTTTCTAATTAAGCTACTACAACCTCTTGATACATTAATAATAATTAATTGCCTGCATGGGTAGCTCAATTGGTCATAGAGGTGAAACTTTGGAAGAATAACTAGGGATCAAGTCTCACCAGCGCCAGTGTGCTTCTTCCTTTTGGAAGAATAATTAATTTATATATACACAGTCACACACTTTTCTAAAATTAATATTTTTGTTATTAATCTCAAAATTTAAAATTAACATGATTTTCTAAAATTAATATTTTTGTTATTAATCTCAAAATTTAAAATTAACATGATTTTCTACTAAATTAAAATTTATAAATGTCGTTAAATACATTTAAACCTGCAGTCTTGTACTATTAAAACTTGATATAAGACTTATTGACTTAATATTATTTGATAACTTATAAATATTATAAAATGTCGTATAATTTATAAAGTTCATTTGATTTTTACTCACTAAATTATGTTAGATGATAAATTAAAAATGGAATAAGGGTCAAATTAGCCACTGAACTATACACAACAATGCAATTAGGTCATTCAACTAAAAAAACATGCAATTAACCCACTGAATAAGCCAAAATCTTGCAATTGGGTCAAAAGTGACTGGTTATTTAGGTTAACCGATGACGTGGCAGTTAACATTTAATAAATTATTTTATTTTATTAATTTTAAATATTAAATTAAAAAAAAACCCAACCTCACCCATCCCCTCCGTCATCTCCGATCGGCGAAAGTGCAAACTTTGTCTGCAAATGGTCTCCGGCCAGAGCGTTGTGGACTTTGTCTTCCTACGGCTTTTCAATTGTGTGGGGTTGATAAGCCTCAGCTTGTTGAGCAGTCTGTGTAACGTTTATCCGTTACTATTATTATAATAACATTAGGATAAGTTATGATAATATTCAGTATTTGATATGTGGTGCAACACTAATAACCTAATAACTAGACTACCATTATGATTAGGAGTCTGGTTAGGGTTTAGGAGACCTAAAGACAATCAACCACAATGATGGCCAGTGGTTATATAAGGTCACTAGTCCTCTCACTGCTCACATTACATACCTCATACACCATCTAGAGAGAGCTGAGTAAAGTGAGAGACAAAATACTCGTTACCTCCCTCTGCAGCAGTCCGGATCGTGCAACCGTGTAAAGAGCTATGGCTGGAGGTTAGTCGATCCTGTAATCACATATTTATGATGCATGTGATATTTTAGTCTAACAGTTGGTATCAGTCGCCATAAATAATCTCTGCCTAGTTTTTTTAATTGCTTAAATATTTACATATGTTGTATACAATTTGTATAATTGAGATACATATGTGAATATTCTTGAGTCCGCAATTAAATTTTCTGGACTGCTGGAAATTAAGTTTTTTTTTTTTTCCGCATTAAGAATTTAAAATATAAGAAAAAAAATTAATTGGATTTGCTTTCCTACTGCTGCGCCATTCTTTAGCAATTCCAATTGCCATTTTATTTTGAAATTGCCAGAAACTCTTTGTTGTTGGTGGAGGACACATTTAATTTCAAAAAAAAGTTAATGTATATGTCGTCCTCCTTCATCATCACCAACAATGGTGTTTCCGGTGATGGCATGGATCAACGATGACGATGGCACGACCTTAAGGAGTGTCGTGTTCTGTATGTCGTGTCTGGAACGATAAAAGTTTTAATCAATATGAAGTGTCTTGATCTACCAATCTGATCACTAAATTTAATTCTAATGGGATCAAAACATGTTTTGTGGAAGAGTGTTGTCCCAAAGTGCAGGAGTAAAATCACGATCTTTATGCGTTCAGAGACACCGCGCCGTCATCATCATCTCAGGCATAAGACTTTTCAACTCTAGTTATGAACTCTGCGGTGGAGAAACGCCTTAGAAGTTGAGAACCCCATTTAGTATTCAAAGTCTTTTCGGGAACACATAAGAAGATTTTGAGCCAATCATCTCCTGGAAATTCTTCAAAACTAGATGACCCAGTGTCATTCCTCACAGCACAGTACACATCATTTCAAATATTGTTTTTTGTTTTTTCTCCTTTAATTATGATGAACGGAGAGGAGGAGATAATTCGACATTAACCATGTGCAGACGAAGTTTGCCGGCCGGTGAAAAGTGCGTTTGCACTTTGCCTCTGGCCGGCGGGAGGGGAGGGGTGTGGGTTTTATTTTTATTTCTATTATTTTTAAAAAATAATATTTAAAATTAATAAAGTAAAATAATTTATTAAATGTTAACCGCCATGTCAGCAACTCACTTGAATAACCAGTCACTTTTGACCCAATTGCAAGATTTTGACTTATTCAGGGGGTTAATTGCATGTTTTTTTAGTTGAATGACCTAATTGCATTTGTGTGTGTAAGTGGCTAATTTGACCCTTATTCCATTAAAAATTTATAAAAGACTTTTAAAATGGGTTTGTTTTTAATTTATGGAGAATTGTTGTGAGTGGAAGTAAGAAAGTGTCGGATTAAGAATTTTTGTGTGATAAAAATAAATTGGATAAGAGTATTTATAGGGTAAAATGGTAAATAAAAAGAAAAACAAAAATATTTATCCGTTGCACTGGCCGAGCGGTGAGAACAGGAGTAGCCTCTACCGGAGGCCAAGCCTAGTCTAGCCTCCGATAGAGGCTACATGCAACGGCCAAATATATTTGACCGTTGCACGTTGCAGGGATGAGTAGTAAGTAATAAGTCTAGCTGCCACAATCAAAATTACTAATTTTTGTTTAGAATTTTAGGCATTTAGCCATGGAACCAAAGCTGGCATGCTTTGCTGCCATGGCTGTGTTTGCCCGGGCCTGGACCATGGGCCGGTTTCGTGTTGGGCCTTGAATTTTTTTAAAAAGGATCTGAACCGGTCCTTAACAAGGCGGTTCCGGTTCGAACTAAGAGCGGCTCAGGCCCAGTGAGGCCCAGGCCCATTTTTTTCGGGCCGATTCAGGGTTGGTTCGACCTTGAACCGGCCCGTGGCCACCTCTACGGTCTTGATTGTTTGATTCAAAAGTCTTACTCTTTTTGCATCTTCAAAAATTCAAGATATTATCTCCAAGAGAGTTTAGATGTGCAATTGGCTGGACAAAAAATAGGATGCTTTTGAAAATTTCAAAAAAAAAAAAAAAAAAAAAAGACCATCTTTCCCAGATGTGCTTCACATTTTTCAAATTTAATTTCATATATCAAACACATGCAATTTATTTATTTATTGAGAAAAGCCATATTTCTTAATTAAGAAATATGCCAAACGCATTTGCATATGCGTTTGGTGTTTTTTTTTAAGGGTCTAACACGGCAAATTATATCGTGGACAAGGGTCCACAGTGCAAAGTACATAGAATTTGACTTTACAAAGCACAAAATTCATGTTTATAATACACATGCACATAAATACGATATAATGAACATAAATTTTGTGTATTATGTTAAATGTTTGTGTCATCGGCTATATAATACACATAATTCATGTTTATTATATCGTGTTTATGTGTATGTGTATTATGCACATGAATTCTGTGTATTATAAACATGAATTATGTGTATTAGACCAGGATCCACAGTGCACTGTGGTCCCTGATCCACAATATAACTATTGGTGTAACACATTTGAAAAATGCATTGGTTTTAGTCATCCAACCTACAAATGAGCGCGGAAAAGACGTTGAATGTCGCATAATTTAATATAAAATATAAATAGTAGATGACCATTAATCATTTGTAAAATAAAATGTTACTTTATTTAATTAATATTATTCAACCAATTATTAGATCATTGATCATTTAAAATATATCATTTTTAATGTGAGGATAACTAGGAAAAGTGTATAGAGAAAAACTGTGATGTAAAAATTTATATTTTTTTTTTAGTAACGAGAAAAACTCGTAAATCACTTGTGCATCGAATAAATCCTGTCTTGTGACCATAAGTATCAAGGGATCACAATGAGGAAAAGCATATAGACAAAAATGTTATGTAAAAAAAAAGTAAGTCATGTAGGGAAAATTTGTTATTTAAAAGGAGTCATGTTTTTATTTGCTGAATTTTTTTCAAAATACATGCATATATAGTTAATAATTAGTAAAATTTTAATGATATCAAACTAAAAATAAAATAGCTCCACCGTTGTCCATAATGGATACTCCAAGAGTAACAAACTGAGCAAAGTGATTATAAAGGATCCGCAAAAAAATGATTAGGATGGTTTCTTTCCCCGAAAATTAAGATCTTTGAATGATTCAGAAGGCTGAGTAACTAAAGAATTACAGAATCAAAGGCAACGAAGAAAGTTAAGCCTTTTACCTTCAAAACCAAGAAACTAACCCACTTTCTCCTCCACCCATTATTGTTATAGTTAGAAGTCGTTTTTTTGTTCTTGTTTTTTCTCTTTTGTTTTCTTTTTTGGTGGAAAATAAAATGTCTGATGATAGAGACGGGGATGTTGATTCTGAAGTTTCACCGGACAAGGTTAATGATATCCCAAGTATTCGCACTGCGCCGTCCGATGCCGATCTTCAGGCTAGCAAGCCCAGCCCCGACACCCCCGATTCGCCGGGAAAGTCACGTCTTTTCGGCCGCGAGAAACCCGTCCACGCCGCTCTCGGCGGTGGAAAATGTACGTCAATCAATGCTTCCCTTCATTCATCTTTATCTCGTTTGTGATATGTATGAGACACTTTTAAGATCGTACTATATTCAGATTAATCTCTGTTAGCACTAAGCCAGACCAATTAAGAAGTAAAATGCCAATCAAATTGGTATTTTTATACCCTTTCTTAAGGATGAGAATTCAGATTAATCCTAGTTAGCACTGAGCCAGTCCAATTAAGGGGTAAAATGCTGGACAAATTAGTATTTTCATACCCTTTCTTAAGGGATGAGAATTCAGATTAATCCTAGTTAGCACTGAGCCAATCCAATTAAGAGGTAAAATGCTGGTCAAATTGGTATTTTCGTACCCTTTCTTAAAGGATGAGAGTGAGTACACGGCCACTCACACCGACCAGAATGATGGTTTTTGGTTTGTGATAAATATGAATGAATAATAAGAATATTATTATGGTTATTATTATTTATTATGTGGGCAGCTGCCGATATTATACTGTGGAGGAACAAGCAAATTTCAGCAGGAGCTCTTACTTCTGCAACTGTTATATGGCTTCTGTTTGAATGGATAGAATACCATTTGCTTACATTTGTTTGCCACTCTCTTATACTTTTATTGGCAATGGTGTTTCTATGGTCCAATCTCTCATCCTTTGTCAACAAGTAAGTCAGTCTTATGATTATGTATATATATACACACAATAAATAATCATCACAAGTAGAGCATGATATGATTTTGGAAACTGTGTTTGTAAGGACTCCACTGGACTTCCCGGAGTTTGTATTGCCGGAGGAATTGTGCAGGCGAGCTGCACTGGCGGTGAGAGATAAGTTTCATTGGGCAGTTGGTATTTTCCGGGAAGTGGCTTCCGGGAAGGATTTGAAGAAGTTCCTCTATGTATGTAAACTATTCTGATCTCCTTCCCACCACTTACATTTCTTGGAAATGTTTGGTTATTCTATATTTGCAAGTTTGTATATTAAACTGCAGGCAATTTTGGGCTTGTGGATTCTTTCTGCCATTGGCAGCTGGTTCGACTTTCTCACCCTAATATACATCAGTGAGTTTCTCTTCTTCTTCTTCTTCTTATCCCCTAAAGGCTAAGCATCAATCCATTCCTTCACATATTTCAATCTACAAACACAAGCCTATGTTTGGTCAAGCTTATTTTAGCAAACATATTGGCCCTGTTTGGTAAATGACTGTTAGCTGTTAGCTGTTAGCTGATTGTGTTAATTAGAGGGTATAACTAGTTGATAACATTAGCTGTTGTAGAAAAGTGTTTGGTAAATTAATTTCAATTAGTTAGCTTATTAGCTACTAGCTTTTCAGGTAGGTTTTGCCAAACAGAGCCTAGACTAATAGATGTGATATTTAGTTACTGCTTCCTAGTGAGGCAACTGATTTCCTGTGGTTATCTGGGCAGTATTTGTTATGGTGTTGACTGTACCTATATTCTACGAGAAGCATGAAGATCAAGTGGATGCTTATGCACACAAAGCAAAAAAGCAAATAGAGAGACAGTACAGCCAATTGGATGAAAAAGTTCTTCAGAAACTACCCAAGGTTCAGTTCAGTAAAGACAGCAAGCAGCACTGATCAAACTCATCTTCACTTTGTTCCGGAACAAGCAGTCTAATCCTAAATTTGTTGGTGAATATACCATTCTTCATTTCAGATTATGCCTTAGTTTAGTTTTAATTTGTTGTTAAGAGCTACTCATTCATTCATCCCTTAAACCAGAAGGGAGAACATGAAATTCAGAAAATTGGTTTTTCCATATATGAACTAGTACAGGTGAAAAGTATTTTATGTGTTCTATGTTCTACTATTTGTTTGTGAATTGGGCTAATGAGAGAATAAATAATACACAAAAACCATATTTGTCAGACGAGAAAAGAAGGAACAAGAACGATGTATTTTCAGTAGAATGAGTACAGAACTGCAGATGAAACGGTTGAAAGGGGAATGAAACTATGGGACTTTGTCCAATTATCTCAATCTCAAAAGAAAAGGAATAGAAGTTGAAACTACTAGAAACTGATTATTATACAAAAGAAACAGAAGATAGATAAGCCTATTGCTGTCTTTCCACATTCATCTCTTCATATATTCTAGGTTCTGATGTTATGCCAAATCCCTTAACTAACAGACATTTGCTCCCAATTCACAATTTCATGCCAACATACTGGAAAATACAAAAATGTGGAACGCATCTACTACTACTCATACCTTTTGTGCTTGAGATCCCGGTGGCAAGAATGGCTCCCACCATCCAAAATTATACTTCGGGTATGGTGCTGTCCAGTTTGCCGGTTTCTCAAACTCAAGTTTAGCAGGGTTAGAAGCCAAAGCTTCTTCTAGACTATCAGCCTCAAAAGAATCTTGTAAAACTCTGTCTAATCTTAGTTTCATGAACCTGCAGAGACAGAGAAATGTATGAGACAGTTTTGACTTAGGGTACTTGAAAAGTAGAGTTGTGAGGAAAAGAAAACTTGTTTTCCTTCCCCACAAGGCCACAACTTTTCATTTCCTCATCAAATGCTAGAACCAAACAAAGGAAAGAGCTTTGAAGAAAGGGCATTTGTTGATTACGTGATCCAGGGGCCATTGGTAGAAACAAGAGCCACTGCAGGTCTCTTCAGTTTCTTTGTAATGTTGGGAAATTTATCCAAGAACTTGGGCTCAATCACAAGCCAGAAATCCTGCTCAAAGTCACGTTCTCCAAAGTACCGAAGACGCTCAAACAATTGTTCCTGGAAATGCTCCTCTTCATCCAGCATGAATTTTGCGTTTGCAATAACAAAATAATACTTCTTCCTCTCTGATTCTTGCTTGTCCTGTAAAGTAAAGTAAATATCAACATTCGCTTTCTCAATATTCAAACCAAAATAAACCTTGCTGACAGATAAATGGCAAGAAATAGGCAATTTTGCTTTAGCATTAACATAAATTCAAACCTATAACCTATCTCCGTTCACTCTCTCCAAGTGTGGGAATCGAACTCAGGTTATCACAAAATTCTCCCTTACAAAAAGAGCTTATTTACCATTGAGCTACCACCCCAGGTTATATTTATGTTTATATATTATATATGAGTTAATTCCAGTTTTTGTCATACATGTATAGGGTGAGGTGGCAGTACATTTCTAGTATTATTGTGCATGTCAACAAAAATACAAAAAATATTATACAAAGTGAGTCACCTTGCCATATTTTTATTTTTATTTTTATTTTAAAAAATCATAACTGAAGCTTAAATTTCCTTATATTTTACAAAATTTAAATAATTTTGTTGAAAGAGAACTCAAACTATCATGCTACAATAATACTAGGACTAAATTAAAATGTTTAAAAAAAAAAATTAAAAATTGATTGCCACCTATAAATTTAAAACTAATATGCTTAGCAGAGTGCAATAATAATTCAAATTGACAGAAAATTCAAATTATACGAAAAAAGAAAATCAATTTCTGATTGAAAATCTAAAGCAAAAAAACAAACTAGCAATGAAGAAGAAATCCATCTCTTCTCGAACCTTTTCTGCGGGATCAGAGGAGTCAACAGCAGCTACGGCGGTTTTCACGCAAGGTCTTGACTTCCCGCCGAGGCTGCTTTGCTTCAGCACAGCGTGTGGCGGAGCCGACAATGGCAAGGATTGGAAGCCGTGAAGTGGAGAAGAAAGCCTGTGAGAATTGTGCGCCGGAAAATTGTTGACGGCCCCGGCGCCGAACGAGCCGAGATTCAACGCCGTTGATGCTAGCATTGCTGCGAATTATGAGAGTGAAAAGGAGAGCAGGTTGTGTGGGTATATTAATGTCCGTCGTGCCCAATGGAAAGATGATAGATAGCGCGAAGTGATTGTGGGAAAATATTTCCGAAGAGCCAAACCTTATCTACTCTTTCTGATTCCCCCCTTATCCCAACATATTTTACAAATTAACCCTGTTAATTTCTCAAAAAATATTCTTCGGTCTCATTTTATATATTTGATTCGATTAATAAAACTTAATTGAAATAATTTACATATTAATTTTTATAGTATTAAATTTAATATTAGTATTATAAATTTTATATATTTAAAAATTATAATAAAAATAATATTAAACACAACAAATCAAATTTAAAAATAAAAAATAATAATAAGTAATAAAGAAAAAATTAGTTTAACCAATAAATAATACAGAGTAAACAATATCAAAGCGAGATTGAGAGGTGTCAGCTTGAAACCCCATGTTCACTGGATCGTCTTGGGACTTTTCTACTGTGGTATAGCGCATCTGGTTGTGTCGTTGCTTTAGTTTTTTAGGACCTCTTCTCTCTTTGCAATGTATGACCATCCAAGAAGCGAATTTCTCAGAGAGATTCGGTCCCAAGGGCGCTTGTTTATTCAGGAGTGGTTGCCCATATTCTTGGGCACCTAAGGTTCCCGCTGTGTCCTCTAGTACAGTGTTGCCCGTTTTGGGGGTGGGGGGGACTATCCCGCACTGTTCTTGGCGGTGGCCATACATGCCACAACCAAAACAGACGAGGTGGATGCCCTCGTATTCTATAGGTCGTTTCTTCCCTCGGAACTTGAACTGGGTTGCCTTCTCATCCGTTTCCTCAATTGATTGACCGGCGACCGTTCTACGGTTGTCGGTCACTTTAATGTCGGAAATATCACCGGAGTTGGCCGGATTATTGACCGAAACCCTATTAACCTGTGATAGCAAGTAACTAACAGATTTTTAGACTTCATTGCACCAAAATACAATGTTGATGGGTTTAATTGTTACTTTAAAAAGTTTATGTGCCTAATTGACTTTTTAGGTAAAGTTGGAGGGCTTATTTGACCATTTTTCCTCTTTTTTTTTCTTAGTTATATTCAGACTCCGAAATCTAAATATTCTATGGTATGAATAAATATACAATGGATTAACTTAAACTAAATTCTCAAAGACCTTGTGGTTTTTTTTTTTTTTTTTTTGGAAAACAAGAACAAGCTTATATTAAATCAAAGGAAAGAGCATTACAAATAAAGGAAGGAGGGGCGGAAAACCACTCCTTACGTTCAGACATAGAAACGAATTCCCTCGCTAGGAGATGGGTCGCCCGATTTGCAAAACGTTTCACGAAAGAAATACAACAATGAGCAAAAGTGCTCAACAAATCTTTAATATCAACTAAAAGCAAGTCAAGCAAGGTGACGAAAGCCCTTGAACAACCAATAAAGAGTCTGTTTCCACATGAAGATACTCTATATTTTGCCGTTTGGACCAACTGAGGGCTTCCTTGATGACTAAGGCTTCAGCTTCCTTAGGAGAGAAAACACCAGTCTATGGGTAGCTGGCTGGTGATAAGAAGATGCCACGATGATTACAAATGACCCAGCCCAAACCCATCTTGCCAGAGTTGACATCCAAAGCAGCGTCGACATTAAGTTTGAACCACCCCTGCCTCGGCCTAATCCATTTTGTGGTATTATGGTGCTGGATGTGCCCTAGTAGATCTTCCGCTTCAGAACATGATTCCCAATCCCTCTAGAAAGCTTTAGAGTTCTCCACAACTGCTTTGGCTGGCAAGCAAATGTTCTTCCACACTTTTTCGTTCCTTGCACGCCAAATATTCCAGCAGATAATAACAAATAGACTAGCTTGTGAGGGCTACAGAGTATTGAACACCTTGGCAATCCAATCCGAGCAGTTTTGGAATTGGCTCTTGTCCGGGAAAGGTTCAAATAGACTCCAACACTGAGACGCGAAACTGCAATCAGCAAAGAGGTGAAAGGCTTATTCCTCGACATTAAGGCACAGAGGGCACAAAGGACTGCAGTTGATTCTCCATTGGCGCAACTTATCTGTAGTTGGGAGACAACCAGAACATGCTTGCTAGATGAAAGTCTTTGCTCTAGGCGGGAGGTGAGCCTTCCAAACGACAGACCAAATTGCAGTAGGAACACTGGCAAGATCATGCACGATAGATTTGTTATAGCTTCTAACTGTAAAGGTCCCTTTCTCATCTTTGGCCCAAATCACCATATCCTCTCTGGAACCCTACGGGATAGGGATACTTAGGATGAGCTGTGCATCCCTGGGGTTGAAGATGTCTCTGACCACACCCTCGTCCTAGCCTGATCCCTGGACATTCAGAAGAGAGCTCACTGTAGCATAAAAAAGGTAAGGAAATGGGGGAGTAATAACCCTAGAATTGACAGCGTCTGGTCGCCATTTATCGTGCCAAATATGAACAGAGAGCCCATTTCTAATTCTCCAACGACAATTACTTTGGATGATACTTTTTGTTTCAACAAGCTAGCCCAAATAAAAGATGGATTACCTCCCTTCCTTGCCTCAACAAACTGGGAATTCGGATAATACTTTGCCTTCATGATTTTTGCAGCAAGAGAGTTAGGGTGATTGATCAACCTCCAAGCTTATTTTGTGAGCAAGGCTGGATTAAAATCTTTGTTCCTACGGAAGCCCATACCACTCCATTTCTTTGGAACACAAAGTTTATCCCAAGCCATCCATCTTAATCCCCTGCCCTGCGCTCCACAACTCCCCCACCAAAACTCATTCATGGTCCTCTCTATATCAAGAACAAATTCATAGCATAGGATGGTATTGCTTGAATAACACTCTTCAAAAGGACCTCACTACACTCTTCAAAGACCTTGTGGTTGAGCAGCATAACTCGTGACTTTTTGTGCTTTTATACGTTGAAAAAAAAATATGAACAAATACTACATTATAACAAAATCAATAATCAATAATACTGTTTCAAAAAAAAATAATCAATAATACTCAAAAAAAAAAAA